GCAGGCAGGCAGTGTTTAGAAAAATATTCAGAACTTGGCAGAAACAAATGGAATATGAGTGTACAGTATAATCATGAAATGTCTTAAAAAACAAATAGGTTAAAAAAACCCTCCTAGTGAAATACAAGCCATTAACTTCAATAAACGTAAATGGATTTTCAAACTCTGGAATGAACATGATGGACATATTGCAAAATTGTTTTATTTTGATGGAAAAATCTTTGTCACGTTGGTTTTAAATCTTGGTTTGAAGAAATCTCAATTTCATTTTTCCAATGTATTCAGTAAATAGATCAATGAAAATTATTCTCCTACAGTCTCACAATATATAGAATTGGGTTAATAATAATACGTTATAGAAGTATGGTGGGGATAATATGGAAGTAATGCACATAAATTACTTTGAATGTTTAAATGAGCTATGAGCTTTAAATGACACTAACAAGACAAGTATTATCATAGAGACATCTCTTTAAATAATTTTCAAAATATTATCTGAATCAGTATCGTAAGCAAGCTAGCAACTTTTATAATTCTTACCATCAGGCTATTTAGACCTGACGAATGACTGTCATAGTGTTTTTCCAATTTTTGTTTAATTCTCTCTCTCAAATCTATGTAGTTTGCTGAACAATCCCTCCAGTTCTTTTGCTCTGCTTTCAGAAGATCCTAGGAAAGTATATGAAATGCTAAATGTTAATAAGCAGGATTTATTTTACAGTATACAATCTGAAATTAGAAACCAACTAAGAAACCCTTAATAATTTTGTATATCCTATTCCAGAAAATTAAGTTAAGAACCAAATATGTTGGAAAGCTATGTGAATATTTTTTAAATCAAATGACTCTTCTTTATCAGTAATAGGACTACTTCCTTTGAATTGCAAATAGCAGATTCTTAATTCTGAAAGAATCCTTCTCTTCCTGTGATCTCAATGCTGTCCAGAGCTAGCACTGGCTGCTATTGATAACATAAGAATGTGAATATGAATTGTATTAGCAAAGTCAATATTGAATTTGTTTTTTAAATTAAAGACTTTCTCCATTTATCCACACAGATAACCTCACAATATGAGAACAAAATAAGCACCCAATTTATTTGCTCATGGCAAGGAACTCTGTCCATTAAGAATGATATGGAATCTTTGATCTATGGACAATTTATAACATTTTAATACTTGTATACAAATTCAAGGACCAATGAATTGGGTTGAAGGTAAAGTAAATGCCATATGTATGATGATATCATTTGCACATGCTAGTAATGCATGATGTTATAATCTGCAAATTCAGTTTGGTCCAATAGACTTATCTATTCTTCTATTATTCTAACACATTGCCAAATGATAAGACTTTATCTATATTTGAAAACATAATAAATTGTAAATTAAAAATGTAAGGAAATTATGACAAAAATATATAAACTACTATACAGATGAAAAGATCTTAGCAATATTAAACAATTGTTTAGCAATAGCAATGCTATTGTATTTATTTGTTTGTATTCCATCATTATTATTGTTACAAATAACTTAAGGTGGTGAACATATCCAACACACATTCATCCTCCTAGTTTCCATTATCATTCTCTTCCTGATCTAATATAAAATTTAAATTGGATTAGTCCTACTTAGTTCCATGCTTTTTATTTCTATAAACTCCATAGAAGATGAAAACTTTAGAGATTCCTTTTGATATTCTCCCAGTTCTTAATTCAATATTTTCATTCTATAAATATAAAATACGGCTATTTGAATTAAATTTCTGACTACAGAATTTAGAAATTGTGTTTGGAAGAAAGAAAAAATATCTTTATTCTATTGGACTGTAGACTGTTACTGGATTTTCAGTGAATAAACAGTTTTTTTAAAAAAAAAAAATAGCTGGAATAGCAGATCCCAATTTTAATTTATTTGTTAAATTTCTGTTATCCATCTCACTGTCCAATTACAATTGAATCCAGAATAGAAACCCAAGAAGTAAGTATTATGGTTTTATAACGTATTTTCTGTCTTAACAATTTTAGTGAGTCACTGACACAAGGAAAAAGGCATTTTTTTATAGTGTAAGGGCCAAAATATTTATTGGCCAGAATGATTTATTCAAATAGCTTACCTACCTTGCAGGCAAAAAACCTCCTTGACTGAATGCTTCCCTGGGAATAAGGAACAATGCATACATTTCTAAAACACGTTGTAAAGAAAAATACTTGTTGCTTTGTTTGACTACAAAATCTTACAGATGAAGTGGAGGAACATTTAAAATAGTTCATGAGGTGACCAATGCTGCCTTTCAAAAAAGAAGGAAAATATTTAACGCCTGAATACATGATGACAAAATATTCATCTTGCTTGATTCTTCATCTTATTTTGAGAACTGTTAGAATCCAAAGTAATAGCAAATCCAAGTAAACTAGTCACAGGCAGTAAATGTTTCACTTTCAAATGTATAGTCTTCAATTCTACTGGTTCAGACCTGGAGGAGAAAAGAGAAATTACAGTTTTAATGGGAGAAAAATTATAAACAAACCTGAGACTTTGTAACATTACTGGTTTCTAAAAACAGTACTCATATTAAAAATTACACTATATTTAATATTTTTCAAAAGATAGTTATGCCCAAGCTACTGCTTATTCTTAGTGACTGCCTGGAGAAATCCCTGCAATTTCCTTGGCAAAATTTCGAAGTGACTTGCCGTTGTGTCCTTTCTAGGTCCGAGAGAATGACTGGCTTAAGGTCGCACAGCTAGTTTTGAATTTAAGGCGGGACTAGAATTCAGATTCCAAATTGGCTCTTCATTTCCATTTATCAAAAGGTAGGTCATTATTTCACAACAAAAAACCTCAATATAATTTTATTGAACCTCCTTAAGGGTGGCACAAGACTTATACTAAGAACTTAAGGAGTAAATGCTAAGTGCTTTATTTGCTAAACAACCAAGGGACCTCACAGGTTCAAGGAATTAACTGGTCCAATATTTCCAATACTGTAATCTCACCATTGTATCAGTGAGAAAGAATGCTGCAGGTCATCAATGGCTAGATTGATTCTTTATATCAACTATTTAACTTTATATAATTGTTACAATAATATCTATTCTCCAATATTCACAACACAGATACTAATTCCTCCATCTTTAATCTGATTATTAAAATGTCCACAACCATATTTCCAGCTTTTGATTCTTGTTTACCCAATTGAGGTCTGCTTCTTGTTGGGATTAACTTGATAAGAAGGTATATAATAATGATAGGAAATACCTACCATCATCCCAAACCAAAAGACGAGCCAAGTGTGAGGGTGTGAGAAGAGGTCTAAGACATCCACTTTCTGTATGATTCTTGCATTGCCAAAATATAAATGGCCCTGAAATTTAATAAGCATTGACCACATAGGGTTATGTTTGCAGTAGCCACCAGGCGGCCAATAGTAGCAGTGTAGGATACTTCAAGACTTACCTTGATTTGTGGCACTCTGACCACTCAACACATTTGTGACAACAATCTGAAATACAACATTGAAAGTTGGGTAGAACCTGCTTCTGCATCAGGTTAGAGATGGGTTGAGGATGTCATACTTTGATACGTTATGCATTAATATTCCTGACCAATGTTACTGGACCATCTTCAAAGATGTGTAGATAAACACAGAGAGTAAATCAGAGGGATAATAATCAATGTAAAGGTTCATGTGCGCAGATGCAGACACAAACATAGACACAGACACACAGACATACATGTATGTATGTATGTATGTATGTATGTATGGTATTCAGCTTTGTTC